GAATTCAGTGCAGCTGCTTGAGAAACCTCTGACTGGCATGAGTGAGAATAGGAAAGTGCTAAAATTTTGGCTGGTTGCTAGTACTGGTTTTGAATCAAGTGCAGGAGAACCTCCCAGCACAAAAGACAAAGAAATTTAAAAGCAGAAAAGCAAGACAAATCAGGAGATTCAGGATCACTCATCTTAAGAAACTGTGCATTACACTTACAAGATGTTATGCCAAAGTAGATTCCTATTTGCAAAATAAAGAAGTCTGTAGGTGACTGAATGAACCTGGAAGGAATTAGTCAGAAAGGACAGGCACACATTATCAGTAATCTCCTAAAATGACAATGCATTTAGGCAGCAATTGCCTATTAGCAGTGTGTGCCATTTGATGAAGCTAACCCAAGAGGTTAAATAGAGGGGTTGGAGCATAACTTTTTATACACTGCAGCTTGAAAATAACATGGGTAAAAGAGGGCCTCTGATTTGATGCTGCTTTTTCTGGAATGTATAGTGCAACTGGATCTAAATTTTGGGAGAGTGCCCAGTTTCAGATGTCTAAAGCCTCTGTTGAAAGCAGTGGAGACTATACACTGCCAAAGTTTTATGTATGCAACTGCAGATTGATTGCCTAATGGCAGTGGTGGGCTTTGATCATGAATGTCTGGAGAGAGAAGTCTCAAGTAGGTGCCCTTTTCCTCATTTTTCCCTTTACCCTTCTAACTCCTAACTCTACTCTTTTTCTTTGTTTCCCCGCTGCATTTACTACAAGCCTTTCACAGATATCTGAGATATAAAAGTTCCTCTCCCCACGTATTTCTTTTCTTTAACAGCTTGCTAGTTGAGCACTGTGCAAGGAGTTAACTGGAGAAGGTGCAGGGGTATGCAATTGTTCTAACACGTTGTCTATTTTGGGTTTTATGGGTGAGAGAAACAGATGAAGATAATTTCCTCTCTTTCTCTGTTTCTTATTAGTAAATTGTGAAGAATTTTTAGGTACAGAACATTCAAGCAAGATCATCATCTGTATGCAAGGGAAAATTATTTCCTTATAGTTTGGTCAATGTGTGAGTCAGAGTCACATAAAAGATGTAATAAGCTGCTTCTGCTTGCAATTAGAGGTTTTGTTCTGATGGCAAATTAAAATTTAAGTCCAGTAGAATTAGGTGTGAAATCTTGCAGATTCCCAGCTAACTGTATATTGTGATTCCATTTGGAAGCTAATAGGACTCAGAAAATTGCTCTTATTGGCCTCTACTTTTCATTTTACCTACAATTCTAGAATTGTGCGAAAAGACAGCAAACTGCCACAAATATATTTTCAGTCTATATTCACTGCTCACTTCCTTCTTTTAATGAAAATAAGAAAGACACATCAATTTTTATACTTTTTTATTAAAAAAAAAAAAAAAGAGTACCACTCTTAATGCTTATACACCTAACAAATGGAATGAAATTACAAAGAAATGCCTGACAGTATAGGTTCTGGTTTTTAGTGAAAAATTTGCATAGTCAAAGAATTCAAACATTTTTTGTTTTAAATTGTGCTTGCCCTAAATCAGCCTGTTCATTTTTCTTTATAACTGCAGTTATGGGGAATCATCTCAGAAGCTTCCAAGTCTGCCACAAAGACAGATGTTTGAACGATCCCCTCCTGCTCAGTATCAGCTGTTCAGCAGAGGTTGCCTAGAAAATAAAGGACCGGTTACCTCTAATTCTGGCTGCCTTTTCAGGAATAATACGAGGAATTTTTTAATAATAAAGGTGCCTTCTTTGTTCTGGGGCTCAACTAAAAAGCCTCTGGCAAACACAGATTCAGCTCACCAATAGAACTTGCTGTGGTGAGTTGAACTTTACTTGCAGGCCAATTATACAGCCAGTATAATTTTTTGAAGGTATAATGGCGCTCATCACACTGAGTCCCCCATGAATTCTGCATCTCTCTCTTTCAGGCATGAATGATTCATTAATTTGGTGAATTAAAGCAGCAGCAGATCAGGCTGCTTGAGAAAGAATGTAGGTAGCCTCATGGTGTGCTCTGCTGCGGGTGCAGAGTGAGGTAGTAAATCTGATTTAGCATTCAAATATAAACTGTCTTGAAGGTCTAGTTGCGGATGTTCCTGCCCATTGCAAGGAGGTGGATGAGAGGACCTTTAAGAGGTCCCTTCCAACTCAAACAAATCTATGATTCTATGAAGGCTACACTGTCACATTGCTTTATTCATAAGTTAACGTCCTTAGGTGTGGATGTGAAGAGGATCTAAAGAAATGAAATCAAGAATGCCCAAACCAGGCGATAATATAGTGTCAGTACACTCTTCAGAGTTGCCATGTGATTTTCTCTAAATAGGCTTCACAAGGAGCGGTCTAACTGTAAAAGAAATCTCTGTTCCTGTTTTCCTTTCCTTTGGTCCCTTGCTTACCATCATAGCAGAGGTTCTTCAGAGTCTAAAAGCCTTCTGAGAGTTGAATCACAAAGCAAAACAACGAAAACGAAACTTGATTTTGCATATTAGGGTCTTGACCAGGGAAGAGAGCAGAAGAAAATTCCCTAGAAATGAACTCCCATGAAAAAAATCATAAAACCCCATAAAAGATAAAGTATAAAAAATAATGGTGATCCAAAAACATGGTAACAAAACATGGCAAATCATTTTTGGAGGGAACCCGTTTCCTTTTCATGAATTAGGATGACCTCTGCATACTTCACCAAAGTTCTGATTTTACCACTCCTGAGCTCATAAAAGAGGGTATATTTCATCCCAGCGGTAATGTTAATATACTGTGAGTTAAGCTCAGAAATATGCACTGAACATCCCCCATTACCAGACAGGGTGGAGCCTTCTGCATAGGAATAAGACTTGAGTAACCCTTTTGAAGCCTTTCTCCTCTCATGGCCCTCCCTGCTGCTACACTCTGGTCTGAGGAACATGTATGTGTGGAGACGTGACAGCCTGCAAAGTAAGATACCCAGGTAACCCCAGAAAAGCCAAGGCAGTGGAAAGAATTCAAAAAAAAGTTTATTTAGTAGGCCAGAACATGAGAAACCTAACAGTGCAGTTTGCACACTGGGCCTCAGGGAGGAAAAGGACAGTTCCCACCCTCTCAGCGCCACTTTATCCTCTCTCTTTCTCCCCTGCCTTCCCAAGGCCTCTGTGTATGTCTGTTAGGGCTATCTCTCTCCTCTCATATATCAGAGAGAGAGGCTGAGAACTTCTCTTGCTATGTAGTGGGGGGACAAAGCACTGAAACTGCCTTTGAGAAAGAGTTACCATTTAGGCAGAAAGCCTTCCTAGTGAAAACTGAGTTCCTAGGTTTCTGTCACAAATACTTCTGAAATTGTACCTATCCCGACACAGCCTATGTAGTGACTGGGCTTGCTGGAGCCTCTGTGAGAGATCTCCACTCACACTTAATGTTGGTTCTTAATATTCAGCAGTCATTGGTGGATTAGAAACACCACTATTCACATGTGGGTCACGAAGGGAAGGAAATTAACATAAAAAAGTACGGCACAGTGTGACCATAAGTATTACTAGGATGACTACTGAAACATGGGGTGGCCTCCGTCCCTGATAAATTACACCAAAATCTAATTTGGCTTCTCTAACAGCAGGCATCCTAAGAGCCACCTTTGCCCCACCTGTCATTTCTAGATAGGCCATACGTGCTTCAGTTACCAGAGGTGCAGGAAATTCCCAGATAGCTACTCTGTCTGGAAATGTTACGGGTGGACATATTCAAATAGCAAGGAAAAAAATTATCTCCCTCTCTTCTCCTCATTGCAGCTAAAGGTGTGATAGAACATTACCATGGCTTTCCTCAACCTTCAAGACAGAGCAAATCTAGGTGCTTCATCCTTCCTTGTTAATTCCCATTTCCTCTTCTTCTTGAAAGTTGCCTCTTTACTTTGCTTATATACACATCAATCAAAGAATTTGTTTGGATTTCTGCCTAAATTTCTGCTATTCTGTAATAAGAGGAGAACAGTTTCTTTTCAGGGATATGGTAGGAGCTGATGCTCTCCATTTTAGAGGGTTGCACAGCTCTGCCAAGCTCATCTGCCTAAAGCAAAATGGAGATCAGGTGTGGCACACTGACCCCCCTGGAGGTAATGCCATCCTGGTGTTAGCCTCCCTGCTTCATGAAATGGGACAACGTGGGCAACCTGGCTGACTTTGAAGACCTGATTGCATGATGGAGTTAGATAGCAACAGTGCTGACTTATAAGCAGCCAACTGATGTTAGATTTGAGCTGATTAAGAAGTCAGGGAGCGAGTGGGGGGTGTAGGTCCTCAGCAAACAATGATACCTCTCTATGATGAGATGGCATTCTGGAGCACATGGCGCAAAGCTCAGTCTGCAGGAAACTGACAGCTCTGTGGAAAAGCTCTGCATAAACATCTCTGCAGGCATCAAGCTCTCTGGAAAAGCTGCCAAGATGATTCCACAGAACGTTATTTTCCAGTTTGCTTAATGAAGCAGCAGCATGCAGTGGTAACAGTAAACAGTTTTAAGCACTCGCCACACCTCCGTTAATTAAAAACTAAGCTGAATTTTGGAGCCTTAATACAGAGTTGCGTCCATAAGCATTATTGTAGAGTACTTAGGAGACCAGAGTAGAACAAGACTTTGATTATTTCAAACAGAGCCTGTAAACTTCGGGTTTTTTCCATTGCTTCTCTTCCGTAAAGTAAGGCTTATGGTCGGAGGTCCGGCGAGCCAGCGTTTGAGGGACGGCACAGGGCCACAGCTGGGGGCGCTGCCGTGGCCTGGGGAGACACGGGGCCCATGTGGGTCGCACGCCCAGGCGGCAGGGCTGTGGTGGGCGGGCAGGGCAGAGCCGGGGCCGGGGCCGGGGCCGGGGCCGGCCTTTCCCGCCGGAGCGCGCCGGGAGCCCCGCGCGGGCGGCGCGAGGGGGCGCGCGGGTGCCGTGAGGCGCTGCGCGCTCGCGCAGATGCCGCGCCCGGGGCGCGCGGGGGCGGCTCGCGAGGTGCCGGGGGCGGCCGCGGGGCTCTGAGGGACCGGAGCGGGGGCTGCTCCCCCGGAGGGAGCGGACACGCGGGGCGCCCTAAAAATAGTGCCGGCCGAGGCCGGGCTGGCCGTCACGGCGCTGCGGGGGAAAGCGCCAGGTGGGTTTTGGGGTGGGGGCGAGGAGGGGTGCAGCACGGACCCCGGGCGACCGGCGCTTCTGCAGCCGGCCCCGCTGGGAAAGTGCTGCCGCTTGCCCGCCGGCTTCGGCAGAGGGGTTTGAGTCCGCCTGCGTGCAGGAATAAATGAGGGAATGCCTCGAGACGGTCGGTGAATGACAGAGAGGGCTGCGCCGCTGCCCCGCTACAGCCGCCCTGCCCGGGGTGCCCTCGGTGCTCGGAGGCGGGGGGACCCTCGGGCGAGTCGGCCGCGGTGACCACAGGAATCCCGGCGGCCTGAGTCGGCGGGAAGTGGTCTGTAAGGCCTAGGGAGCATTTCCCCGTGCTCCCGAGGAGGTTGTGCGTACGCGAAAAGGTGTTTGCGGAGGCGAGCGGGGGGCGAGGGCGACGAGGTGCGGGGAGCCCGTCGCCCTGGCAAAACCCGGCCGCCTCCACCCAGGTCGTCGGCCAGCGAGTACGACGCAGAGTTGGAATGAAGCTTCCCGAAGGCTCCAATGGCAAGCAAGGGATGCACGCCCTCCCGCTACCCACCATCCCAAAACTATGTTTGTGGGCTTCTTACTTTGTATTTAGTGTGTTTATTAAGGCTTTATGTTCGCGAGAGGCTGCATTTGCGAGGAATGCTGTGCTGCCGAGTTGCCTGCATTGGCGCTGCCGTCGCTGGGAAGCGCCGGTTCAGGCTTCAGCCCGCGGTCCGGCGGAGCTGCTGCTCCCGCTCGGGCGGTGCTGCGGCGGGACCCCCGCTGTCCCGGCACCCTCGGTGCCCGCCGAGGCTCTCCAGGCATGTACCCGTCTGCTTATTTTAAATACACCGGTCCCCCTGGATGTTGCAACAGCGAAGTAAACGGAGATACAAAAAAAAATGCGCCTAACTTGAGGAAAAACGTCAGTGTTGCACTGTCAAAGAGAGCTGATCACTATTCTTCAAGAACCAGTAAAAAGCAACTAAGAAACATTAAACATACAGAGGAATTAGAGGCTCTAATATTTGAGTGGCCTCTGTATAATAATATGAAAATGTTACTGCACAGCAATAATAGGTATCCAATTTATCGATGTGCATAGGCAGGAAAAAATAGCCTTTCTGTTACGTCTTTATGCAATTTCGGAGCATTAGTACTGAAATTAGGGTAAGTGGGAAATAATGTGTATAATTACAAGAAAAAAACCGACAAAGATTGAAAAGGACAGGCGTTTAGCAGCACACAAAACCTCACGAAGACAGTAGGCTTGTTAGGTGCAGGGACTGTTTATCTGGATGGCTCCTCACTCGATTTTTTAAGAACAAACACTATTTTTATAATAAAGCACTTATTGCTTCTCGTCATAACAATAATCACTATACGAGCAGAATTTTTCCCCTTTCTCTCTCGCGTAATGATTATGTTCTGTTGCCGAGAATGTAATGATTTGGAGCTGCAAAACTCGGATTTTCATATTTTCTAGATGCTCCCCTTATGCGCATTTCTTCCTCTCTGTGCAAAGAAGACTACTTTGCACTTATTTTATTCATTTGACTTTGTTCAGCCACTGGCCCCTGGCCAAGGAGAGCATGTACACAGTAACAGAAAATCCCGTGAAGAAGATCGTAATGATCAGGCACTTGATTCAGTGCAGTGGTTTTGCTAATGCCAGGAGTAACTGCTATGAGAACTTTCCAAATCTGCAGCCATGAAGTTCAAAACTCTTGTTATAATTTCTATGCCTCAGACTCTACCTATGCATTCATACAAATGCTTATAGCATTGTATTCTCAAGGGCGCTACCTTTAAAACTCTGCTTTAATGGAATTCACTCTATAGGAAGCATCACTTGACAGAAGTGTATTTCTCCTTTCCCTTCCCTTCTACTTTGTTATGTTTCTTCATAACACTGTTTGCGTTTATGTTGGACGGTTTGTAGCTAAACACACAGAGACAGGTTTTTAAAATGGACACAGTAGTAATATCAGCTGGAACTCCTCGGAGGACGCGAGAGGGAGGGGGCGGGGGTGAGGAGGAAGAACATTTAAACGCACTTTAAAGTACTCCATTACTGAAACAGTAGCTGCAGAAGTGCAGCTGGGAAGGGGCAGCAGGGCTCTTTAAATGATATTTGAATCGGACTCGCATTTTAAGTGCTGTTTATGAAGTACATATGGAACTTTCCAAAACTGTTCAGCAAGTGCCAACAAAATGTATCTATCGAGGAGGCAAGAAGACAAGGGAATATTTTATTCAGTTCTTACTTGTTTTGATAGCTGGGCACATCGTTATGGTCATCATAAGTGTAGCACCTACAGTAGATTTATCAGTTTAATATTTCCCTGCAATACTAAAAACGTTTCTTTACTTAGGCAAATGCTCCTGTCTAGTTTATTCAAGGTGATTTGCCAAGCTAAGGGAGCCACTTCCTGTAACAGGTACTTTGACAAGGATAACCGACAGTCTTATATATCAAAGAGTAGTCAAACCGCAATGAGATTCAAAGCAGGGAGTGTTGGAACATTTTGTTCCAGAGAACGAGCTAAAAATAACAGCCCCTCCCCATGTTGGAAGGGGGTTGATTTTCCCACTTGGAAGGGCAAAGAGAAATCAAATTATTAATGTAATCAAATAGAAAGTCCACCCGGAGAGGCGAAGGGTGAAAGGGGTTTGTTCTGAAGTGTCAATGATTCAAATAAGCTAGAGTCCAGAGCCCGGCTCTGAAAAAGATTTGATGGATTGTTGGAAGCTTTAACAATTTTATACCTTCCTCATGACACATCAGAACGTGGCATTTGAACAAGGTCATAATAATACCAAACTGCATAGCCAAGTTCTGCCACTCGAAGCCAAATCCCTAAGTCTCATTTTCAGCCCAAAACCGAGTTCCTTCTACAGCCTCACGTTTTACTTACCCGCAAAACAGACTTTCTAAAGATGTCAAAAACTGCTTTGACATCTATTTCGGAGATTAGAGGCTAAATTGTGGTGCACGTCAGTAAGGAAATACTTAACAACATGATAATTACACCATCCACGTTACTGAGATATTTGGTTAGAGACTTTCAGCATCCACCCTGCGGGAAAAGAAAGTTTCTTTACTTGTAGACACTAGGGGAAAATAAAAGCAAAGCAGCAACATCAAAAACCCCAAGCACCCACGTTTTTAATCCCCTGATCACTTTTTCTGCAGGCAGGGAAAGCTTTCCTCTTTTCCAATAAACTATTTCCAAACAGCTATTACTTCCCTATTCTCGTGAGCGGCGTGGGGTTTGTTTTTGGATTTGAATGTTTAAAGCACAATAGAGACATCATACTAAAATAGCCGGCGGCAGCCCAGCCGAGAGGCGTCGTTTCCCAGCAGCTCCGCACAGCCTCCGTGGCCGCGGAGAGCCGCGCTGCCTGGGGCGCGCTGCCGGGATGCCCCGCGGCTCTCGCCGTAGCCCTCGAGCATCCCAGCTCAGCGCCGCCGCCCCCGGCACCTCCGGCACCGGCCAGCCTTTGGGGCTGCCGCCCGCCGCACCAAGGCGGGTTCCCCCTCCGGCTTCCCAGTAGCCACGGCGCGGGTGGGTGGCAGCCCGCCTTCCCCTCGTACCCACTTTGTTTTCACCTGGTACTACAGTACAAACTCTGTGTCTTCCGCTCCTCGCTTCAGACGCAAACACAAGCTCTCCTTGATTCGGCCACGCCGAGTACCCCCCCCCCACCGAGATGGGGTGGCAGTCCCGGCCTCCCCCTTTCCCGGGGGCAAGAGGCTTTCCTCTTCCCAGCCAGGGAGCCGGGGCCGGACCTTCTCCCGTTACCTCTCTCTCGCCCACCAGGAGCAGGGGGGTAGTCCCGCACCTCTGGCCGCCGGCCCCTGCCTCCCTCAGGGTCCCGTCTGCGGGACTTCCAGCTCTTTTCCTCTTCTGTCCTCCTGTTTGTCTGCCCGCCTGCCTGCATCCTTTTTTATTTTCCCTGCCGGTGACTTAAGCCCAAGCCAAAGGAGGCACAAGGAAAAATAGCCGTGGGCTCCAGGTCTATAAATACAGCTTGAAGCGAGCATCCAAAAGTTTGCAAGGAAAGGAAGGAAGACAGCGTACGGAGACAAAAGCCAAGCATCGCTCCGCTGCTGCCGATGCTCTGGCTCTGCTCGGGCTTCGCGGCGGATCGAGCCCGTTCGCTGTTTGTTTGGGTGGGCTGTTTTTGGGGGGCAGGGAGGTCGGTGGTTGTTGAAGGTTCGGCACGTTCATCATTTCAGATTTAAATAGGCGAATTTTAGAGGCAAATACCAGTCGATCGATCAGCCAACTTTGCAGCTGCTATTGTGAGAGTAAACTTTCTTAACGCGGCTGAAGCCACTAGTGGAGGGTGGTTTTTTCTTTTGTTTATTTTGGTTTGGGGTTTTTTTGCAGCTGGTGAAACCTAAGAGTCTGACCATTTCCTTGTTCTCTCCATGTTTTGTGCGTCCATCGGCGAGTAAGAGAAAAAGAGGCAGTCGGCTCTTAAAAAGAGGGGTAGCGGCGCCCCTACCTGCTCTGTGTCGCTGTCTTAGAGCCTGTCTTTGGAATACGCGTAAGCAGGGCTGCCGTCCGCCGTAGAAGTAACACTGGCATGTCAGAGAGGAAATGGCCAACATATGCCTGCCTTATCCTAAGTGTTTATTCATGTTAACTGCTGTCTTCTTCATCCTACGTAAGCTCTTTCTCAGTACGGAGCAGTAGCCGGTCAAAAGAACAACAACGACAAAAAGAGTCAAGGAAATGTGCATACATCGGGTGAAACACGGAGAAACCGACCCATTTTTGGAGTTAATCGATTTGGGAGATTAAGGTCGTGAGAACCAAGCAGGTTTGGAGTTAGGGAATGAAGCTAGCAAGCGGAGAAAGTGACTTTCGGTGCGCAGGCAGCCTTTGAAAGCGCAAGGAGGGACATGCCAAGCTGCCCTGCAGCGAGAATGCGAAGTGGAAGCAGAAAGAGGCCGCAAAAGAGTGAGGAAAGATGCTGCCCGGAGCGGCCGCCTGCCTCCCGCCCGCCTGCCTCCCCCGGGACGGGCGGCCCCAGTCCCAGCGGCTGCCGGAGGGGAGGGAGCGAGGGCGGAGGGGGCTTCTCCCCACGGAAGAGCGAAATAATCGGCGGCTGATGTGAGACAGAAATACAGGGTGCTGCGAAAATAAGGGCTGAAAGGCAGAAGGAAACAATCCAAAGAAGTAAATTGACGCTTCAGCCTTCAGCACTGCAGCTTTGCGGGAGTTTGTGCTTGCTCTGCACGACAAGCGCTAGGCAAAAAAGATATTCTCACATGGAAGAACTCTGCAGGCTTCAGAGGAGCTGTTTTAAGGATCCTCCTACATCTCTTACAGTGGCAGGAGGCAGCTTTACTGCTATAAAAGGGGGAACTGGAGGTTTCTGCTCGTCACCCTGCCCCCATGACACTGTTCACCGAAGGGGAAGAGTTGATCAGGCTTGCCAGGATTCCAGGTTCTTGTTTAATTAGCGGTCGTGAGAGTTGTTCACAGGCATTACTTTTGGTTTGGGGAAAGGATGAGGAGATAGAAACTGAGTATCTGCTTTATCTTGGAAAATTCACCAGTGGCCAACGTCTAATAAAATAGCTTTTGTGGCAGCAGGGCTGCACAGCTTTTGTGGCAGCAGGGCTGTGGAGCCATCCCAATACCTACTCGCTGGGCTAGCTCTCACCACATTTGGCACTTCACATGCGTAACACTTGGAGCAGAGGCTTCCCCACCATGCACATGTGCTGTCACTAGGCCACCACAGTTTTACTGATGACAGATTTCTAGTAACTGAGTAGTTACTTCCAGTGGACGGATTGCACTGCCAGCCTTCTCAGCCCATCAGTCTGCCCTGGGCGTGAGCAGGGAGATGGGGGTGACCAGGGAGCTGCACACAGATGGGGGGGGGGGGGGGGGTAAAACAGCCCACAGGCATAAGCACAGGGACAGAGAGGTGCAGTCTGTCCTGCACCCACAGTAGGTGTCCCCGCTCACTGGGGTGAGCCTGCCAGCCTTCCAGGAGCAGC